CATTTTGTTTTTCTCTACTAGCAGGATATGAGCTAATATCCTGCTAGTAGAGAACCAATCAGATTGCAGAATACCTCATATCCAGACCTTGTGTATATAATAAATTCATATATTCGTGTTCTGCCAGACTAATTTCTTTTGAAATGAACTTAAATTCAAAAGAAACTCGTCGGGCAGAACACGAATATATGAATATACCCCCCCCCCCCAAATTAATGCTCTAGTTACGCCTCTGATTTGCGGAGCATTGGACTAGTATTCCAAAGGTGGTAGGTTCGATCGCGATTTCCACCGTAGCCGGGCATATTTTCAAGCTCGCCCGGTGTGAATATACACTCAGAGTAACAACACAAACAATCATATTCACCTGAGTACACAACACCAACACAGAAAAAATCATATTACCAGATTACATTGGAAGGAACTAGATTGTGTTCCGAAATATCACTTACTCGAATCGACCTGACCGCGTAGCTCAGTTGGCAGAGCAGTGGGCTAGTATTCCAAAGGTCGTAGGTTTGATTCCAACCGTGGCCGGGCATATTTTCAAGCTCGCACGGTGTGGTATACACTCAGAGTGACATCACAAACAATAATTTCCATGCTCGTTTCGGTTTTCCAAAAATTTGGAAAAAAAACTCGACAGTGCCAGCCCTGCATGGTTTTTTGTGTGAAAAATGTTGAATTTTTAATTATGATTTCTTGTTTACAATTATTGGTTTTTGGTCCAGGAGTGATGATGATTGGTGGAAGAAGAAATGACAGAACAGATAATGGTGTTGAAATAAAAACACAGGAGAATGAAGCAAAGTTTAATGGAAGCGTACCTTACTATAATTTTGGTTGCAACACAGACAACATTCAGATCACAACAATCAGATCATAACATTCAGATCACAACGTTCAGACACAACCAGATTAATGACTATCTGATTAAGTCAAATTTACTCACAAATTCCCAACACCGTTTTAGACCGCATGCGCACCATTCTAAAGTTACAGCATGACTAGATATTACGAATAGATGATATCAGAATTTAGTATAAACCTAATAGTAGGCTATCATGTATCGTGCGTTCTGATTGGCTACGCTCCTAGGAGGCTACTAGTGATAGCCTACTAGTAGTAACAAGCGGCAAAGGGTGCGAGAGTCAATGGCCGTTTATAAATTATAAGTATTAAAAGCTGCATTTAAAGGGAAAAAGCTTATCAAAATGGCCTAATTCAGTGGGTTCTGGAATACACACAAACAAAGACTCTTGGAAACTGTTGGCACATGCGGTAAAGTTTTAAAGATTCAACTTTCCTCGTTGTTTTGAGCATAAAAGTGACAGGTTATTTTTTTAAAATATATGCACAATTAATAAGGTTAGCTAGAAAACGCGGACACGGAAAACGCGGACACGGACAACGCGGACACGGAAAACGCGGACAAGGAAAACGCGGACATGGAAAACGCGGACATGGAAAACGCGGACATGGAAAACGTGGACATGGAAAAGGCGGACATGGAAAACGCGGACATGGAAAACGCGGACATGGAAAACGCGGACAATGGAAAACGCGGACATGGAAAACGCGGACATGGAAAACGCGGACATGGAAAACGCGGACACTATATAGTATAAGCATATAGACAAGGTCTTGCAGTTGCTTGATGAGACTAGTTTCATAATGTTTTATATATTTTTCAATGTTTTATATATTTTACCGGGTTCTTCTACTTTTTTGCTAATTTATTACTTAAACACGTACATGTATCTGCGAAAAAACTTGATTCACATTTTGTATTTTCCTGAAAGAAACTGAATAATGAAGATGACATGGGACAATTGAAATATTTCATCACTTATTATAATGGCAGATAAGATTTAAAACAGGGCTGTACACAGCGGGGAGTGCAGCAGGGCAAGTGCTACCCCCACCCCCGCACCGAGAAAATTTAACTAACTTTATAATGTGATTATGATTGTAACAGATAATTATGCAGTCAGGAAATAAAATTTCATGCAAACAATATTCAAAGTGTCTATACAGCAGGCTATTTAGTAAACTGTCACCTGTCAATTCAATCCATACTCATCAAATTTTCAAAACTTTATTGTAATCATATGAAGCAAAAGTTATGTCACTTGTTGTTTACACTTGCCAATGTTAACTGTTGAGTAACATACACAAAATATTTGGTGAACATGTTGAAGACCACTGAATAATTGAGAATGTTTTGAAGGTCATGAGTGAAGTATATAATTAAATTCCAGTTCTGTGCACAGTTAATGATATACCACACTGTTTGGTTTAACACGTACAGCACATTCACACAAAAACAATCGTGTTGTGGGAGATTATCGGTTTGAGTAGAAGGTATCACAAGTTTAGTTTTGTACATTGTGTGCCATTGATCAAATCCACCATATAATATATGATTACTCATTGTAGCTGTTAAATTATTTTCCATACTAATGAATTTAGGTAAGATTGTCTTGCAAGTTGGTTGTTCTGACAAAATTATCCAGCCAATATCCATTACATTTATTCTTCATTCTTGTATTAATCTCTAAAGAAAAATATTTATGTTAGAAAGCAAAATGACAATGTAATGAGGCTCGGGAGGGTGAGGATTCTTTTATTTGAAAATGTTTGTAAACAATTTTGTTTAATTAACTCTAATGTGTAAAACCAAAATGTATAAGTATTTTAACTGATAACATCTTCAACCTTTGCTCTAACACTACATTTGATGACAGCTTTATAGTTGGACTGTTGTTTTGAACAGAGTTATGGAGTCAATATACAGAAATACAGGACCAGGATTTAATTCAATATCTCTTGAGAATGTTTTCACTGTTTAAAATATTTATACAGAAGTACAGAAGTCACAGACGGATTGTTTTTAATACTGTATAAATCTTTTTGTGAACTATGTTGACAAATGGCTTAAAATATCCTCGAAAATATCCAATATTTTATACAGTGTATTATATTAATAAAAAATTCCAGAGTGCATTCCATGTAAACTCTACACCGAAGATACGGCAATATTAACTATAGATAGTATTAGTAAATATTTGCCGAACTGGCGAACTCGTGTATTATAAAATATGTGGGACATATGTTTGCACAAGTTTGGTATTTAAATATATAATATGTGGTATTTGACTACTTACCATATGAGGATAAGATTCCATGTTGATAAATAACTTCGGAATAAAAAAAAGACAGCCAATTCGAGATAAATTGATAAAAATATCAAGATATTTTTGAAAGAATAACACGATTTATACACGAGGCCTGACGAGGCTAAAGTATGCCCGTTCGCAGGTTAGATGCGGGCACGATGTAAACAATTGATGTAAACTGATCGCTGATTGGCTTAAATTGGCATAAATTGGCTGAATTATATAAGCCCGTCGCTGAATGGCTAGGGATACGGTACGGTACGGTCACGGCACGTTTGCGATAGCATATATATCTGCTTCGCAGATACAAAAATAGGTACGCGACGCGTACATGTATCTGCGAAAAAACTTGATTCACATTTAGTATATTTTGTATTTTCTTGAAAGAAACTGAATAATGAAGATGACATGGGACAATTGAAATATTTCATCACTTATTATAATGGCAGATAAGATTTAAAACAGGGCTGTACACAGCGGGGAGTACAGCAGGGCAAATGC